AGCACGCAATCGGTGCCACGCATATAAGTGAGAAATATATCCGTAGGCCTCTTTCCCATGTAACTCCTCTGCTACCTATGTGATCCAAGGCTGAGACTATCACGGTGCGCCATAAGCCACGGCTTTTAAGTTTACCAGCTAACGGGATAAATTGAACCTCGCAGTGACCGACTGGTGGACTGAGAGTCGGGCTGCAATGGTTCTTACTAAATGTGACCTCTATGGCATTTTCACTCATATGGGAGTCGAGCTGGTGTGTCGGCATGTTTAGGGGTGGGTTCTCGCAGTGCTAGCCACCTGCCCCTACCCCCCTCGTCTTGACTCGGTCGTGACATGGAGCCCAGATGCGGGAGAGAGTGCGGCAAAGGTAGAGCAAGTCTACTAGCACTATAAACTAAATCACGCTCGAGTCACCGTTGCTGCGTCACCATGCTCCAAGACACAGTCGATAACGATAGTCGATCGGTCATCCGTTGTCTCTTTGGATATCACTTTTTGTCATCAACGGCATTGTGTGGTTGAATGGGGTTGAGTTAGTGCCTTATCCAGAGATAAAACAGAGAGGAAAACTATTTGTACAACCAAAGCAAGGCAGATTAAGGATACTCATTTTGCTGTCCTTCAATTGCTGCCAAGCCTAGGGCGGGCAGATCTGAAATTGTAATAGGAGTAAGTTTGGGCATAAAGCTCTGGCTTGACGCCTAAAAGAAAATCACGAAATCGACGGTCGAACAGTCACTTCTACTATCTTAACCTGCATGTTTTTTTTCGAGTAATCTTGATTAATCTTGCTGCTTTCGATGACGCCTCTTAGAGCGGCTCTTCAGACAAATGCTGCCCATTTCTCTTGTTCGGTAAAAGACGAATAAGAAGGGGTAACAAAACGCCTCAACATTCAACCACGTCGAGTTAAGGTGGTGATTGCTCGCCTCTAAAAGGCTGCCGGCGGTAAATTAGTATTAAAGACTAAAGAACCGGTGATGGAAATTGGATTCATTGCATTCAAATTATACTAGCCGAATTTCTTGGACGAATGCTGGCCTGGCAACCTGGCCAGTTTTTTACTCTAATGACTCTTATGCTGCAATTGCCTAAAAAGCGTCTGCAAATGCATCGGTTAAACTTCACAACACAGAAGGGCATTGACAGGCTATATGCGACCTTCGTGCCAATCGTGATTCTGTAAGAATATCGTCCCGATGCCAGGGTGCGCAGTTAATCAAGTCAATCGAATGGTTTAATCTCGAAATATTGGGAATAGATTTTTGAAGATGACCGAGGAACTGACTTCGTGAAAATTTTTGTGAAAGATTCTGCTGATAACCTCAAAAAATAGAGATCGCCAGATTGGTTTATCTCAGTAAATCGGCCTTTTTATGTGGGCTCGGGACCGACAGGAATACTTTTTGAAAATCAATTAATGAAATTACAGAAACGGAGACAGAATACACGTTAGCATACAGAACTGTTCAACTTTCAAAGGGTTACCGGAAAGTGAGCATGCATTAGGCGGTAGTGCGCCCAGATAAAAAAGAAATTTTGCTTATCTCCGTTATCAGTTATAAACACGCGATTAATGGGAGGTAGTCAGTCTTAGAGGTGGCTGCTAAAATTGATGACGGAATGCAAGAATTTCTAAACGGGCAAGTACGTAGCTAACGCGGTTATGTTGATTATGGCACTTGTAGTAGACATATTCGGAAACTGATTGTGAGAAAGCATTAATGTATAATAATAAAAGTCAACAGAACAAGGGACCAGTCCCTAGCTTGGTGATTAAGTTGGAATGAGACCTCAATAGTTGAATCTATACAAAGGAAACATATTTTTGAGCAACAGTTCTTCAGCAATTTTTCGGTGCACTTTCCCGTATAAGTATACGGAATACTTACAGCATGATCTACCTCAAGCTGCCCCTGCGAAAACAGTATGATATTTTAGCTGATAAGATGAAGGCGGCAGAAAGTGAAAAAGATGATTCATTAAACCTCAAGATGACTATCTGTATCTACCTTCTCGTCTGTGCAGGCTACATAGCGAGACTGAATTTGCTTTAATGCCTTTACTATGAACTAATAAAAAGACCATGACATTTGGGCGCATTCGAAAGGTTAAGTCTCAGATGTTAATGAGGAGAAGTTACTCTGGTAAAAGAATGGTTCATTTTGCCCACACATTTAATTGTCACCTTGCTTCAGTAAAGGAACAATGAGCTGTCTGCAAAGATATATGTAGAACGACGCGATATATATCCTTAAAAAGCTCTTACTTAGATTAAAAACGATGATATTGGAAATTATCATTGTCTAAATATCATAAATTATAAATAAGAGCTTGGTAAACGCTTCTACATGATAAAAAAGATGAGACACTTTTAGGTCTGTAAAAGCGAA